AGTTACGGTGGTACAGGGTCAATACGGCGCTAGGACGGTTCAGGTGACACGACGGGCGTTGGGCAGGCTGCTGCGGTGTACGGGGATGTTCCGGGAGTCGGCACCCGCCCTTACCGCCTGAAACCAACCGCATTGGGGGCAGCCGACGGGAGGCCGCCTCACTGAAGCCCAGCGAGGGGGCTAAACCGTTTGGGGGGACTGCAGACGACGAGGACGCTAATCCTGTCCGATGCGGTCAGGCGCCTGCAGTTTTCTGTTATGCGATCAATATTACCTTTTCGGTCTAGCGGGCTCCGCTGGGACCCGATGTTACGGGCAAACCGTCATCCACTTTTACCAGTACATACACGCAGTACTACGCAGTACTCCGTATGTTTCCCCGTTATCTGCCTTGTCTGGATTCCTGGTTGAGATCATTTCTTTGCCGCTTGGCTGACCACCCTTCGTACTCTCTTATCCTCCTCCTGATCCTCTTCGTCGGCACCCTCCTTGGAAACTCTCTTCTCCTCTTCCTTTGTCGTCGACCTCATCCATCCGCTTCCGGTTGACTGCTCCATCCCATCTCCATCTCCATCTCCATCTTGCGTACCTGCGAGTCGCGTGCCTGCATACGGACCCGGCCGTATTCCGCTTTTGGCTTCTTTCCGCTCGGCTGGGTCTCAGCCAGTGCCAACACAGCAAAGTGTGAAGTGTGAAGTGTGAAGTGTGTGTGTGTGTGTGGTGGTGGTTTAGCCGATCTACTCAAAGATTCCAAGACTATATCTATCAGAAAGACCTCCACCGGGGAATCGCCCACGGGACGCTTCCCTTCCTCTCCTCTCGCCCTCCTGCCCTCCTCCCCCCCATCCATGTATCTCGCTCAGACACTCGATCCAAGTGCCTCATCGGGCTTAGAACGCCTTACTAAATCTAAACAATTGTGCCGTGAGCTTCAGCTGTGAAAATGATGGTCCCAAGAGCTTTCCTTTTCAGTTCCGTGCCTTCTTCCCCGAAGACCTCCCTCCGCCAGCATGGCGAGAAGATCCCAGTCACTAAATCCTCCCTGGACCTTCTCAACGGGCAGGACCTCTCGGGCCTCGAACTCCCATCCGAGACCTCTCCGCAAACCATGCACACCAGTCCGGTTGTTATACCTCCGAAACGGGCTCCACGGGTGACATCGGTGCTTTCTCAAACGGGGAACAAACGTCCAACCACGCCGAACAAGTCCAGAACAGTGTCTCCTAGGTCGTCGTCGGCCACTTTGACTGACCGGCCCGTGCCCAGTTCTATTGCGTCGATTCTGGAGGCCACCGCGATCCCCGTACCTCGCCGTAACTGGAGTGTCCGAGAGTCTCGCAACCGCAAGAAGCTGCCTCGCGGAAACCATGTGCAGGATTTCAGCAAATTGTTGATGGACGGGGTTGGCGATAACCTGGTGGACAGCACTGGAAATACTGCCCTCGATCTACTCTTGAGTCCTCCAGAGGATCTCGACCGGTCTACGGTTGGAAGTGACTGCGACAGCGAGGCACCGTCGTTCTCTGCCTGCTCACTGTCGGTTGCGTCGACTCCGTCATTGGAACGCGACTTCGATTCCCCGTCTAGTCTTCTTGGCCCGTCTACGCCGTCAAGCCAGCGGAGTCCGTTGGAGAGAAAGTTCCAACGTCAATCTCCATGTGAGAACTGCATTTTCGACCACCCCTTACTAGACACAGAAGCGTCGGACACGGAGGAGGAATCCGTCGGCCAAGCCACATTGTCCGGTCTCAGCCCGAAGACCCCAACTCCATCTCGGACGCTCCCACGCCTCGGATCCACATTCAAGTCCAACTTAACGGCATCCTTGCGGGCAATCAAATCGGCTGCGCAGAGTGTTTCAGCGTTTGCTACGCCTTCCGTCCAACCGGACGATTTTTTGACCCGCTCTCTCTTCACTATTACGCCGGAGATGACGGACGACCGACGGCCTCCGCCCATGAACGAACCACCGTCGCCCGCACTCCGGCGGTACCTGAACCCAATTACGGTCTCACCAGCGGAGATGTACGCTTATCAGGAATACCCACACGAGCCGCTGGACAGCCACAACTGTCCTGTTTCCGTGCAAATGCAAACGTACCATCGCTCGGGTAGGCGCGGCAGTCACAGGGGCGGGTTCCACCTGACACGCTCGGAAGGCCGAGACAGACAGCTGCTACCGTTTGACCCCGAGATCCCGCCAATGTCACGCCAGCGCGAGCCTCGGGAGAACAGCGATTTCCTGCGGATGGTGGTACTCGAGATGAACATGCGGCGCAGCGGCAAGCTGCGGGATGATGTCCCGACGCGGGCCCGGATCTGGCTGCCTCCACGGAAGGGTAGTCAAGGCCGATACGTGCGGTACGATTACTACGAAGACGAGGATGAGAATGCAGTTCCCTCGCGATGGGTCGGGGTGTCTGTGAGCAGCCTGTAAATATGCGACCACGAGCTCACACTTTCGCTTCCTTTCTATTTTCAACACTCATTGCACAGCGCTGGGCGTGACTTTCGGCTTTGATATTCTTTTTTTTTATTATCTCTCTCTGTACATACATGGCATAGGTAGCGGGCGATCCCCTACGGGTTAGGGGCATAGCGAGAGGCGTTGGCACCCCATCATCCATCGTTCAAATTTGGATTATTACTACTACAATAACTACAGAGGACTCCATACCACGTAAACACCCACATTCACATTCACATGCACTTAGGTAGAAAAGAGATACCCAATAACAACCCTATCGCTTACGCGCGGATAATCCCAGGTTATCTTCATCCCCTAGCTAACTACCTGAGACACTAAATCGCCCAACTAACGGAAGTTACCGTCCCCTATCGACTAGTATCTAATTTAGTCCATGGCTGCCTACAGGGCTACCCTACCCGCTAACTGCATCCTGCAGACCAGCTTTATCTAAGCCGATTCCTATCGACCTACCCGTTTCGGTTAGATAGGGTCTACCTTCCCGACTAGGTAAGTTTTGTAGTACTCGATTCCATTACCTACCCATTTCTTTAGTATCTCGGAATTGTTCCGTTAGGCAACTCAATGTGTATAGGCTATATCTAAGTTATAGTAACCTATATAATATTATAGTTATTGGGAATAGTTATTATTATTATTATTACTGTTTTTATATGGCTGATAGGAATTCATAATCCATTCCGTTAATTAAGTAATGATTTAATTAATTAATTAATCGAGGAATATGTACCTGGTGAATGAAGATCGTATTATATGACATAATCAATCACACCCACCAACCCCGAGGAAATAGTTAGTCTGGATGGCTGCCTGCCTTGGCTGATGATGAATATGTATGACAACCAACCCGACCTACTACCTACCTGCTGTGTGTCTGTCTGTCTCACGCGAGCATCCAACACCCCTACCCCTACGCTTACCCCTACCACTACCCCCTACCCTATCTACAGCCTAGCCTGCCTACCTACCCTACTTACACCCCTGGCCCCGATGCCAGCCGCACTTCATTTCATGCATGCCATGCATCTCACCCTGTCTTTTTTCTGCCACTCTCTCTGTCTCTGTATTTATTTATTTAAATTTTATTTTATTAAACCAAATCTTTACTTAATACTCCGTACGGAGTACTCCGGAGTAGATAGATCAACAAGCTACAACCACCAAGTAGATAACCCAACCCAGTATAGATCCCACAAATACGAGATACAATCCCAAACCAAGAAACAATGCACAATCTACAGAGTAACTATCGACCCGAACCCCACGGAACCCTCAAAGCTACTAATTGTACTCCAGGAAACTCAAACGCTAATCTTGTCTTGTCTGTCCCTAGTGATGACGCACAAGACCGCGGCGAGGAGGGGGGGTGGGAGGGAAATTAACTAGGTAGGATAATAGAGTTTAAGCGCCGGGTTGTCAATGTCATTTTGCTTTGGGTTTGTGTTTGGGTTTGGGTTCTGGTATAGAGTGTGACGAGGTATGGGGTATGGTATGTTTGGTTTGCATTTGGTATGTATGTATGTATGTATGTATGTATGTATGTATGTATGTATGTATGTATGTATGTATGTATGTATGTATGAGTTTATTATTTATTACGAGGATATTATCCATAGATTTACATTTACGGAGTGTTTGGGTTGGGATGGGATGGATGAAGAAAGGGTGGGAGGGAAGGTGGGAGGGAGGTAATACACCTCGGTTGGTTGGTTGGGTGGGTGGGTGATCATTCACCTCGGGTTCTTGGGGTGGTAGTGGGCATTGTTCATGGCTGGCTGGCAGGCTGGCAGGATGGAGGATTGAGGATGGATGACACGGTGCAGTGTTGTTCTTATCTCTGTCCAATTGGATGCATCGCTGGAATGTCTTGGTCTCAGCCACCCATGTGTACCTAACCAGGGAATTTGACTGACAGCTAGCTGGAAAGAGGACCGGACTGATGATGTATTTGTTGGGTTTCTTTTATTGTTTGGGTCTATGTTTAGATGTCTGGTTGCGTGACGGGATATCTATCAGTATCAGGAGACTGATAGAGAGGAAATACCCTGATACGGGGTAGATAGTGGATGATGATGCGGAGATGATGTCAGTCAGGCGAGCAATTGTATCATCTGTGCCGCTATTAGATAGATAGACAGGTACGGAGTACTCTAGGTCACGAGATAGGTCCTACGGTCGCCCACAGCCCAAGGCATTGCAAAAGTATCTTAGTAAGCATCTAGCCGAAGGGCCTTCTAGGGCTCCATCAAGTTCTGAAAGGCCCCGTCAAGTCTAAAGACTCCATCACCCAAAAAAGGTTGTCAGATCTACAGTCTGAATTCTGGGGATTGGCACTCCCCCTCCCAAGCTCCTTTGTTCTGGCTGAAACGGGGAGCACTGGCAATATATCATGGATAGAACAGGTCATATTACTGCTGATGAAAAGACCAATCAGAAGCCAACTTCTCGAGACCTAGAGTTGCAGCGCTTCGCAAATGGAGTATGGAGATAGGTCACAAAAACAAAAAAGAGTTGACAAGGACGGGACTCGAACCCGCGCTCTTTCGAATTGGTGTATCGGTAATACCTAACTGGGGGTTTATTAGTATGACAATGGTAGGTAACTTTGGTAATAAGGTTACTCACAACCAACGCCATAACCACTCGGCCACCTTGCCATTTGGACATTAAAATCAAATCCTTTGATTGTATATGATGGGACAATAATTGAAAGTATCTGCATGTTGGTTGTTCGGGGGGAAATAAACCATCGTCGTGATCTCATATTCGTCATGGATTTTGCTACTATTTTCTTGAAATCATTCCTTGTAGCTATAACTCTACTCTCCTTTAACCTCATGGTGTGGCAATTCCTAGCAGTAATCCATCAACTACGGATATAGAAACAGATACTACTTCCGAAAATTCTGGTGCGAGATATCCAAGCAGGAAACTGAACCAGGTTGTCTGTTTAGGGTTCCGCCGGCATCCTAAACGATTCTTGCTGCAATTCCGGTGAACGTATTGTATCGGGGTAATTTACGGCCGCCGCGGCGGAGGCCTGCCGCCCCGACCACGAGATGTCTACCAGCCTGAAACCGGACTGGCTGGAGATAAGACCTGCCCGGGTTTCCTGGCTTGCCTATTGGTCGGACGGTATGTACAGGGGCATGGGGGTAGCATACGCTGGCAGAGTCTCGGGCTACAGGTTGGTTTCTCCGGTGATCGTGAGTCAGAGATAAGCGCTGCTTGTGCTACACTGCAGACATCCTCTTTCAGAAATCAGAAGGGTTCAACTTCGTTAATCATCTTGTAGAGTGTGGGGTATTATACTAGTATAGACAGAGAGACACATCATGACGAATGATCAGAGCATGTGCACCATCATCCGGGTATCACAAAGCCCGCAACGGACGGAGGAGAAAGGACCGCCATGCTAATAACACAAGGTTGCACCGTCGATGCGTGTATACCCGATGCCCCGTCAAGCAGTCCGTAAAGGATGAAACCCTAGAGTCTAATTAGCCCCTGCATCAGACAATCCCGTCTGCTCACTTACTCTCTTCGTCCAGGAGCGTCCGCTGGTTCCAGCTCTCCTCGATCCACTCAACCGTGACGATGTGAGGAATCTTCCGGCTAGCCTGGGAAGACCAGGTTTTCCGTAATGAGCTGATTTCTGAAGATGGGGTGGTGTCCGGATCCACCACCACATGGGTGATGGACGAGTCCGTCACCGTATCGACAACGCTAGCGCCTGCGAATCTGGCCGTGCTGCGGGCCAAAGGAAGCCGATAGCCTTGGCCAGCGTGCTCGGGCTCCTCGGAATCCGCGCCTTGCTCAGTCCGCGTGGGAAAGAAGAACGTTAGGTTTTGGAAAAGCCACCCGCATGGAAGCTCCCATCCCGCATCCACTTTCTCTTGGACAACCTCCCTAAGCTTTTTGGTGGCTTCGGCGCCGCCCCGGGGCACATCGACATTGTTGTCTTTGCCCATCTTCTCCAGTAACTGGTAGCTTGTTAGTCGCACTGACCGAAAACAACACATGGGGCACATACAGCCCTCAGCTCTTCCTTGGTGACATCACGGGCATAGCTGTCATCGAACTGATCAATACTGGCCGCTACCCCCTCTTCCTTCTCAGGTGCGGTGAAAAAAATATGCCTGGAAAGTTAGCAGTCATCGTTGGCCCTAGACCAGGCATCTCACCTAGGCTCCAGAGGAAGAAGCATGTCCGGAAGACCCGCGTCGATCTCACTCTGCCGCACACAATCTAGGATCCAAACTGGCCGGATGATGCTCACGTTGCCCTTCTTTTGCAATGAGGCCGCTTTCACAGTCCCTGTAGACTGTCAGTGGCTAAATTTGGATGCAAACGGCGTGCATACTTCTGTCCGCAATGCATAAGGTGTCGGGAGCTGCATTGTTGGTCTGGTATAACTTGCCCCCGTTGGATTTCACCAGCTGCTCCAAATCCGCCTTTGACTTCTTGAACGGGGTGCCAGAGTCGGTCATTATAACTATACCGGTCAGAATCGCGAATTCAAAAAAAGGCACGGTAACTTACAAAAGCTGAGACCGTCGAAAATATGTCCGGACGGTCTGTCATAATTGACCTCCGCATCGGCACTGTACCCTGCAATCGTCAACGGCTTCTTGGTTGCTCTCCTCACTCGTTTCTTGCGGAAATTCTCGACATTGAACTCCTTCTGCTTTTCTTCCTGCTCCACGTTCGCCTTCAGATCCCAGAAATCCTGCACGGAAAGCGCACTCTTCCAATCCTTATCCACACGTAGCCTCTTGAACCGGGGAAAGCGCAATGTCGACCCGAGTCGAAACTGCTCACTGCGAGTTACTGAAGCGGCCTTGACGCAAAGTACTACCGAATCCTCCGGCTTGATCCATTGATCGGGACGCTCGTACTGGGCGTCTCCACCTGCCAGCTCGATGTAAGCTGTTGGCGGTTTCTTCGGGTTCCAGTCCATCCATTTGCCGTCGGTGTGATGGCGAATGTTCGCGTAGTCAGCCGCCGTAAGACCACCTCCGACCTTACAGAAAGAGTAGCATTTGCTCGCCCTTGTCCCTTGCGAAGAGGTGGCATCGTCGGCCCTGAGTCCACATAGGAAGCTGGCAAGGGCACCTCCGCGATGGCCACCACCATAATACCCCCCAATAACGATCAAATCCAAGGACTCTCCAAAATTAGTCATATAATCAGGTTTCACTTTCATCCAGTCGTCGTGTCGTTCATTCAGGCGATAGGGCGATCTGGGATTCTTGAGCACTAGCCCCTCAGAGGCCTCCGCAACGACTTTTCGAAGCGATGCTTCTACTTGTTCCTTGTCCGTTGCTTCCTCGTATGGATGCACTTCGAACCGACGGGATACTGAGTTTATACTCTTTTGCAGGGCATTTCGACGATCCCGGAGCGTGTATCTTGTCAAGTCATGCCCATTCAAGTATAGTATATCAAAAATTCGAAACAACGGCTGGCGTTTGTTCGCAGAATGGCTTCTCTGTGTCTCTATCGCAGCCGTCTTCAACGTGCCAAACGCTTCAAACGCACCCTGCGCATTATCCCAGACCATCATTTCACCGTCCAGGATCAAGCTCTTGACCCCATCTGCAAAGGCACCTTTGAGGTGTCTGGTCAAGGCACCATTCGGGTCCTCTAAACCATTTCCATAAAGGTAAGTGTAATCCTTTGCCTTCCTGGACCAGAAGCAAAACTTTCTTCCCCCTGGAACCGAGTCATCAGACTTCATATGAAGCTGCATGCGCTCCCCATCGAGCTTTTCCTCGATCCAAAATACAGGGTCTTGCTCCGTCACTCTCATTCGGGAAATCATCCGATCTAGGGAGTGCATCTGAAATTGAGCCAGCTGCGGCTGGAAGCACTGCATCAACGAGATTCCCTTGTTTTCAGCCTCCAGTCGGATATTAGGGTCATGCAGCTCCCAGCAAACACGGCGAAGGCTACTAGATATGCTGTAGAGAGTTTCAGCATCCGGGTGCCACACATCGAAGAATGTCCGCTCCGTAGCTCCGACTTTCGTCTGCCGCAGAATAATCCGAATGAGCCACAGCAACTCGTCGGGATTCATCCTCCGATAAAACTCCGTTAGGATAGGTAGCTGTTGCTCCTCCTTTGATGCATTAGAAAGCTGATCCAACTTCTCATTCACATCCTGAATCAACATATCCCCCACCCCTGTCCTCATAGGTCGTTTTGATATGATATCGTAGCAGCGTCTCGCAAAGTCCCCCGCCATGGACCGTGACGAATCCGTCTGTCCCGGAAGCTTCCAGTTCAAAAGACTGAATCCGTCCTCTGAATTCTTGTCGATCTTCATTATCTTCACAAGTAACTTTCCAATGGTCTTTTCTTTGATGCCATACATGGCCCGATCGCGGTCTTTGTCCGGTAGAATCAGCCGGAAAGCGGGATAAATATCATCGCCAACATCCTTCCTCCATCGTGAGATAAATTTCTCGATCACATCACGCCGTTTTTCATACGGGCTGAGGTGTGCGGCGGATTGGCCCCGACGTCCGACTTTTCGCCGCGGTGCGGCGGCTACTGTCGGCTTCTTTTGGAGGTCGCTCAATGGGTTGAAAAGTCTCTCGAAGAGATCGTGAAAGGGTAATGTTTGGGAATGGTTATGAGGGCGGTTTGGATATCTATATCATGGGGTGATGTGATCAGTATGATGAAGGGATATAGTTGAAATCCGATAGGATAGTGAATGCGAAATGAGGGGAGAATGACACTGCTTACTTTTCGTCTAGGTTAGACTCATGTTGGGAGGTTTCATGGAAATATTCTCCATGCCTACTAGCTTCCTTTGCATCCATGGCTCATTTGTATAATCTGCATTCGTGACTTGCAGTTGGGGAAGGGAGGAGGAAGCATCGAGTTGACTGTTATATTGGTTGTCGTAGTGATCGTAGGCTTCAGTCCGCGTTTAGGCGGCAGAGCTCCGATAAGATAGCGGAGCATGTGACATGACATCACAGCTTCCAATTATCAGACGCAGAGTCAGAATGAGTATCGATATGGGTAAGGATTCAATTGCTTGCTCTAACTGTGAAATGTGGGCCCTTCATGCCATGGCTATACAATCGCTAAAGATACAACAGCTCGTCCTAGTAACAGTGCCTGTTTACGTTGGGGAAACTAGCTCAGCAAGCTTGGCCAGGATCGCGATGAACCGCTGGGATATTCCCCATGAGGAAAGGCGGGTGAGTGTCATGCAGCCAGCTCTGAGGGTCTTCTCTGGTCCACGCGGGGCACATACATCCCCTAAGCCACTCAGAATCGCTTTCATTCCGTGGCCTTCACGGACAAACAGTTGAGCCAGCTCATCATCACAGGGTCTGTCCAGGTGGATAAGCAAGGGCTTTTCTGGCATGTCGCGTCTTGTTTCATGGCCAGTGTTCATGTCAGATACGGGCGCGTAGCATGAGCCATACGCCCAGAGAATTAGTGTTGCCAGGAAGACGGCAACTGACTCATGGAATGCATGGCTTGAATACTCGCGAGCGTGCCACAGCATTGCCCCTGCGTGTATAACAGCCAAACGGGCCTTGTACTGATCGTGTTTGACCCAGCGTAGTATGTAGTGCCATTCAAGGGTGTGTTGGCGCTCACTCCAGCGGGCCTCTTCCATTGCTAACGAGGT